TTCTATAGAATAATTACAAGCCTTGCAAACTACAAAAAACATCCTGATTTTTTCTAAAGCACAGTTAGCTTGGATCCCCTCTTCACTTCAGAAATCACTATTCAAACACTACAAGAATTTCCTAATACTCTCTAAGACTGATTTGAAAGTTGATACTACCACATATTACTGCCTAAAGAAGTAGCCTTAGGACATTCCCAGCTTTGCTCTCACCCCGAGTACACCTGAATTCTGACCCTAAAAATCAGAGATCTAAAAATAACTATGAAACTAGATCATCATTATACATAAATATACGAGTGATGAAAAAGCTGTGCTAATGGAGATCCTTGATGAGCATAATGGCCCATTCAATAAGCAATTCGTCCACTAGTCCTCCCTGATTAGGATTTGTAGTACGAAGAAAAGCTGTATGTCCACCACCGCTTGTAACTACACTGATAACGGAATCACTTGCGCTTATTGCATTGATAGGTATGGCTGGAAGATAACAATGAAACAGTGATGAAAGCTATGAAAAATTGAAATCTACCTTCTAACGGACTGAAACAATCGTCATCAGCATTCAAACACAATGTGGGAACGGGTATCTTATGCACCTTAACAAATCTTGGATTTTATGACAAAGTGAGGAATAAACGAAAGATAAGAGACTAATGACCTTCTTATTCGGAGCCGCATGCTCATAGTAATGGTCGACAGATTCGTAACCAAATAAAGGTGCCGTAAAACTAGAGTCAAATTCTCGAATTGTCACTGATCGTAAGACACGGTCGAAATCCATCATTTCGTGGTGTTCATAGTATTCTCTGTATCTGAAAGATTCGGCACTTGACTAAGCCAAAACAGATGGTGACCTGTCAAGCCATAATTGCAAAAGATAAAGATAAAATGAATAAGAAGTAGTAACGGATCCCAGCCTACCTATCCGCAAAAGCGACGAGTTTTTTAGTAATATGACGATTGTAGGTATGCTTCGCAAAAAACCTCTGGAAGTATTTTTTTCAGAAATAATGTTAAACAAACCCAATGGTCTCAAAATTACATCAAAAGCATTGAAAAATAGCAAAACACAACAGAACAACGTACAAACCTCTAGGGAGTTTGTTGTCGAAGATGGATCAAAAGGTGAAGAGACGATGAGCGCACCTTTGAGAATCACATCTTCTTTTGTGCATGTTGCAAGATAATTCCAAAGCACCATACTACAATGAATGTTTCCAGAAATATGAAAATAATTTAATACATTACAATAACGCCTACGAACCCTCCCATACTAAAGCCGCAACCAATCATTTTAGCGTTTGGATATCTCTTTGAAACACGCTTTATCACCTCAGCAACGTCATGATGTCGGACGGAATTGTAGGCTCTGGAATAGTTCTGGAATAGAATGGAACGTTCAGCACTTTGAGAAAACAAGTTCTGCAGAGGATACTTTGTTAAACAACTGAAAGGCAGAGGCTTCATATGAAAAAGCTCACATTCTATTTCTCAAATTGACACCGCCAAGTCCACGCGGATTGTAGACAACAACACGCCATTTTCGAGCAATTAATTCCTGTGCCGGATATAGTATATATGCGCAATCTCGAGTCGATCCTACAGCGAATAAAAATAATTTGAGAAAGGCTAAATGTGAAATAGTACAAAGTTAACATAGAACAAGAGATTTTCCAAAAATTGAATTTTTCGATAACATCTAAGTCTTTCATTTGTTATCCTATAGGGGTGACGATCATATATTTCAATTCAAGAACGACAAAGAGTAAGTTAAATTTGACTTCTGCAGAGTAGGCGAATGAGTTCGTGTCATTTTTTCCCAGACTCGAAGAGATTTTTGGAAAATGGATGTTTTAGCAACGCATTATATATATTTTTAGTCAAAGCTTCCCTCTAGAAGGATGCATTGGCTTGTTCAACAATTCTGGTTTTGTCAAATGAATAGTAATCACAATTGTATCTTCAGTGAGCTGAAAAAACCTGACCACTTTATAAATTTGAGGAATCTAAAATTCACTATAACGTCACTCAGCGCGCTAATTGGCTGTGCCGACTACAAAAATCATATCCATTATTCACATCATACCCTACAGTTGGATTACGTTGGATACGCTGCAGATTCAAAATCACGCTTTACCTAAAAGGTGGCCTACCCGTGGTAATTAACACTCTCACAAAAATTATTATCAAACTCCACGAAAAAGCCTCACACTATAGACAAGAAATTATTCCATTTTCCTTTTCAATGAACATTTATGGACCTCCCCTCCCCCCCTTCCTTATCGTGAAGAATGGGTATGATGTTCGTACTCAGCATATCCCCCCTCACGATTTCGTGTTACAGCATTTTCAAGAGTCTTGCATTCCAAAAAATTTTTAGGTTGAGCTAAACACGCCAATTTGAGGATAGGTCTTCTCTCAAAAGATGTATAATGTGCTGTTGAAACTTTCTTTCCTTCTAATTATTCGAATTTGAAAGAAAAACACTTCCAGCTGCAATACACATGATAACCGCAAAGAAATAGTAAGAAGAAATAATGAGGAAATAATAAAACAGTGATAATCTTTATATGTGAGGATACCTGTTATCCCAGGTAAAAACAACACTATAGGTGCGTCATCCGGGCAGTCTTCCGGATGCAGCCAATCGATACCTAGAGCGCCTCCGTCTTCAAATTCAATCACTTCCCTGAAATTCTGCTGTGAGATGTGCAGGATGAGTCGAAAACTAGAAAGCAGATACTGCGAAGCGCTTAAAAAGACCACGAACCTGATGAAAGGCAATGGAGGACACTTTCTGAATGTTCCACTAACTATAGTCTGTGCGTCCCCAAAAGGACACCACCATGGTGGAGTGTACACCTGAAAATTTAAGTGAAGACAGAATAGTAGAGTAGACGACAAGATTTGAGATGCAGAACTGAGTAAAACTTCTGTAGGGCTCACAGCAAACTCTCAACACACAAATTGGGACAAACTCATAATGCGTTCGCAAAAAAAGCTTTTCTCTACGTTTACATTGAATTATCATTGCTCGTATCCAAAGAGTTAATGACGTTTGACACATCTTTTAAAGAAACAAACCTTTCTAAGAGCTGGAATATATTTTTTAACTCGTTCGAACAGCTCCCCGTCTAACTTTGCATAGATCATCGGCTTCTACAATGAAGAGTGAAGAAGAAATAAAACAATAGGTCTAAACAATAATAAATATGAAAATATTCGTACCCTTGACTTATACTTAGTGTAGAGCCATAAAGAAGTTGGCAAAGCAACTATCACAAAGCCAACAGCCGCCAGCATACCAGTACACTAAACGAAGAATGAAATAGAAGCTCTGTGAAAGATTTGACTGATCTTAAAAGTTATGCATATCAAAAGTGAAACTGATGATGGGGATATAAAAGGTTTCAAATAATGCTGATCCTATAGAGCGGGTAAGAGTCCCAAATTGATCCAGTGTATACGATATAAACCCAGGTCACTACAAAAAGATTTATCACGAATCCTTATCCAGGAGAACGTCAAGATATGCGCAACTAGTTGCAGGCAATTTTTTT